AACCCTCCCACTCCTGTCTCCTCATGAACATGGGGATCAAGCGTGTCCATTTGCCAAATGCACCCGAACACACGGGAAGCTTACCCGAGGCACATTGACAATAACGAGGTTGTTTCCAGAATTGGGCATTTTGTCACTCGAGTAAAAATAAAATGTCATGAGTAAAGATTCATCTCTTTATAGTGCAATGCTTAACCTTTTTATATTAATGTCAATATTGGAACAATGTATCTTGGATGTTTTCACTATGTATCTTTGCTACGCAACACCGATGTACATGTTTACATCCGGTTTTAGAATTGCATTATTGATCATGAGTAACGTGAGTAATAATATTACTCGAGTGATGCCCAACTCTGGCCTTTGCGAGAGACAAATATTTGAATTATGCAATTTTCTGTCTCTGTCGATGCGTGTCACCCAAAATGAGTTCGCATGTCACCTCTGACACACGTGTCATAGGTTCGTCATCACTGCTATAGAACATCTGTACTTCTTTATGAGCCTCTGGAAAGTACATATTTTTCTTCTTCTATTTTTGATCTATGATCTCCACAAATTTCAAAAATAAATATGATTCAAATATTCCTAGAAGATTATAAACTTGAGCATCAGAGTTTATTTTCCTCACCACCAAGACAAGTCCCAAGGCTTCCTTCCCTTGTTAACTTTTACCTTGAAAAAACAGACAAACAAAATAAAAGTGTAAAGAATTAGGATACCTAAAACCTAACACTTTATAAGGTTATATCTTCGAGTTCTCCTTGAAAGCTTCTATCACCCATGTCAAAGAACCTTTATGATGAGGGTTATGGAGTCATTGAATATGTTGGAAGACAAGTTGGCTACTGATTCTCTGTCATCAAGAGGCCCAACGCAACCAAGACTAAAGCAGGATTTCTGCTACTGGCGACATACCCTCTTTTTTTTTTTTCATTTTATATGTAATTAATGTAACTGACTGAGATTCAAACATTTCTGGGGATATTTGCCAAGAAATTGGGTGGGAAGGGATTGGAAAAGTGAAACTACCTAACATTTCCTGGTTTTGTTTAAGAATGTGGGAAATGTGTGAGCAAATGCCTAAGTGACAGAGGTGAGAGAGAATGTGTCTCTGTGGTCTAGAGCCCGAGGCCTGGGGTGAATGGCTGTAGTAAAAACTGAAGGAGCTCTTTTCAACGACTGTCAGACAGTAGAGGTGCCGGCAGCATTGCCAATGAGTCATAAAAGGTATTATGAGCTGAACTATGACCCCTCCCCAAATTCATATGCTAAACTCCTAACCCTTAGTATCTCAGAATGTGACTGTATTTGGAGATAGGGCCTTTAGAGGTGACTAAATTAAAATGAATTCATTGGGGTGGGTCCTACTTGAATCTGACTGGTGTCCTTATAAGAGGAAATTTAGAGACAGCATGCACAAAGGAAAGACCATGAGAAGACAGCAAGATAGTGGCTATTGCCCAGACTGTGTGGCTCCGTGGCTGAGCTCCACTCTTGCACCAAAAGGTCACTGGTTTGATTCCTGATCAGGGCACATGCCCTGTTGCAGCCTCGATCCCAAGCAGGTGGTGTGCAGGAGGCAACCGATTGATGTTGATGTTTCTTTCTCATCAACACTTCTATCTCTCTCTCCCTTCCTCTCTCTAAAAATCAATAAAAACAAATTATTTTTTAAAAGGATGGCTATCTGCAACTCAAGGAAAGAGGCCTTAGAGAAAGCCAAACCTGATGACACCTATCTTAGACTTCTAGCCTACAGAACTTGAGAAAATATATGTTGTTTGGACTACTGCTTCTGTGGTAGTTTGTTAAGGCAGCCCCAGCAATTCCCCTAAATAAAGGAGGAATTCAGAAGCTTAGAGACTAAGTTGTAGATTGGTTTAAAACATACATAAAAGAAACCTTGGGAGCATTCACACATAAGTGAGAGACCTGAGGCCAGGAATTCCTGGACTGAACAGGTGAAAAGGACAATGCCAAGGACATTTACATTATTTACTCTGAAAGTAATACTTGTAAATATAGCTACTAACATATATTAAACTGTGGAGAAACACATATTATAGGGTTTAAAAATATGGACACATGACCCACACTTTTTAGCTTACAATTCTGGTTTTGTTTATGAACCTGGGTAAGTTAGTTAACATTTCTGTGCCTCAATTTCTTTATCAGTGGAGATAACAAGGCCAATCACAGGATTTTTGTAACAATTAAATGAATAGGAATATAGTAATTTATGTGTTAGCTATCATTTTTATTATTATCATTATAAGCAGATACTAGTCAAAGTATTAAATCAATCTTCACAAAAATTCTTAGGTGACTGAAACATGGTGAGGTAAATTTAATTACTTATGATAACATCATCAGTAGTAGTGGGCCTAAGATTTGGCCTTAAATATTATGGATCCATAGGTTATTATGCTCCATAGGAACAAAATCTTGATGTACAAAGCATCATAAAAATTCTAAATAGACCACTAAACAGAAGGTGTATTTGTGTTTATAAGATTTGCATTAATACAAGTGACTTATTCAAGTGACAAATTTACAATTTAAAAATATTCATTTATTTTACCACTGCAGTTTGAGAAGTGGAGAATGTTTAGACTGTGTATTGGAAGAATGTTTCTCTTTATTCTAATGACATATTATCTATTAACTAGAATCCTGGTGCACAAAATCATGCATGGGTGGGGTCCCGTGGGGGGGACCAATCAGGGGTGGGGCCAGCCGGACCCCAGCAGCAAGCTAACCTACCAGTCAGAGCATCTGCCCCCTGGCGGCCAGTGCACATTATAGTAACTGGTTGACCGGTTGACTGTCCCCCGGTGGTCAGTGCACATCATAGTGAGCAGTTGAGCGGAGCTTAGCATATCATTAATATATTACACTTTAATTGGTTGAATGGATGACCAGACGATCAGACACTTGTCATATTAGGCTTTTATTATATAGGATAAGCAATTAAGGGAAAATTAGATGATAAACAGTTGATTGATGTACACAGAAATAAACAGCTTTTAAAATATATTCAGAATGCTTTGCCATATGCATTTTTAAGAAGTAGAAATATCTGAATCCCAGATTGAACAGTACATTCTAAAAGAAATACTGATTACACTGTTCCCATTACAACTTCTTTACTTAGCAAACAAGTTGTTACAATTGATTGAAGAAAGCATGCTATATTTCCTCTGCTATACAGGTGCATGGATTGAGAAGTACCTCCTCATTTTCTTTAAGTACAATATCGTACATGCAGAGTGGTGGTCTGTAAGAGAGAAAGAGAAAGAAATAAAAACTCTTGGTAAAATTACAAAGTTTATATTCTTCTCATAAATATTAGGGTATGTCATGCCTATAACCAACTACTTCTCCAAATGCTGGGCATTGGAACATGCCTACATCATGGTTTCCACTCTCTTATTGGGCTAGACTGGGATAAAGTAGACACATGGGGCGGGGGTGAGATTCTGTGTGTTTCCACTTCTCTCTTTGCTGCTTCATTGGAATATTTACAATGTGTGGTAGATATTGTTGGATACTCAAATAATTGAATAACTGAAACCTGAACTCATCTCAGTAGTCAGGCCACCCCTTGCATCATTGATAGTCACTATGGAAGAGTTAGGTTGAACAGCATAGACAAATGTTGCAATATGATTTAATCAATTATTTTTGCCACCTACTAAAATGGAAATAATGTGTAAAGTATTCTATATTTTGGAGAGATTGTGTAGTTGGCATTTGAAGATTTCTCAGAAGTCAAGTAAATCAGGCATCTTGTCTAGTTATCTTCTTGCTAATATCTTGAAAACCTTAAAAAAAGTAATTGACTAGAATAAGACAAGATTGGCAAAGGTTCAGAAAAGTAGCTAAAAAAAAATGGTAGCAATAAATACAAATTTTCTGTATCAGCAACAGAACTTAGTCAAGGAAAATGGCGTCATTCAACTTCATAGGTGCTGGTAGTTCACCTTAAATGGTCATTTGCACTTATCTAGTTCAAGAGACACATTGCTCCCAGTCTTCTACTAGCTTGGTTAAGACATCATGGAATAAAGTTTTAAAATATTCAACAGGTAGGTTAAATTATTCAATTTTTAAATAAACCTATTTTCTATTTCTGCTAATATATTTGAAAATGATAAAATATAGACATTCATATCTAATTATAAAACCCAATATACAATACTACAGTATTTTACATTTAAAATAATAAAGATACATTAAAACTTTATTATTAACTAGAGGCCTGATGCATGAAATTCATCCAAGAGTAGGCCTTCACAGCCTTGATCCCTCCCTCACAGTCCTGGCAGCTGCCTCGATCCCATGGCAGCAGACCGGCTTCTTCTGAAAGATCATCTGTAAGGCCATCTAGAAGGACATCCGGACAGTCATTCCACTATTCAGCCATTTGGTTGATTTGCATATTTCGCTTTTATTATCATAGATAATATAGCAGTAAGTGTAAAATGATAGTACCTTAATCTCACAAGGTTTTTTAGATTTAGCAAAAATATCTTTTTATTACATTACTAGAGGCCCAATGCATGATATTCTTGCAAGAGTAGGCCTCTCTTCCCCCAGCTCCTGACACTGGCTTCCCTCTGGCACCCAGGACCTGGGTTTCCCTCTGGCCGCCAACAGGCACCTGGGACCCGAGCTTCCCTTGCAGCCCGGCTTCATCTAGAATGTCATCCGGAAGGATGTCTGGTCTAATTAGAGACGCATTGCTCCCAGTCTTCTACTAGCTTGGTTAAGACATCATTGAATAAAGTTTTAAAATATTCAACAGGTAGGTTAAATTATTCAATTTTTAAATAAACCTATTTTCTATTTCTGCTAATATATTTGAAAATGATAAATGCTAATTAGACCAGACATCTTCCAGACGACCTTCTGGATGTCCTTCTGGACAAAGCCATGATGGCAGGGCCAAGGCAGAGGTGGTTAGGGGCAATTACACTTTTATTATTATAAATTAGAGAGCAGAATATAATTGAAAAATCAGATTCATCCTTTCTCCATTATTAAGAATTAAGTAGAGGAATGATTTTATCATTACCCCACCCAAATTTATCTATACTTATATCAATTATTTATTCTGCTACATCCCTTATTCACTGAATGTGCCTTCAGTGTTCTGGATCTCCCTCCACCTCATTTCTTTAAAAATTCTCATGTGATTCTGTTTTTTTAATGGTTTTAAGATGAGAGAGAGAGAGAGAGAGAGAGAGAGAGAGACATAAATGTGAGATAGAAACAGTGATCAGTTACCTCCAGTATGTGCCCTGATTAGGCTTTGAACCACAACTTAGGTATATGCTTTGGCCAGTAATCAAACCTGCAACCATTTCTTGTACAAGATGACACTCCAACCAACTGAGCCACCCATCCAGGGCTCCACCTCATTTTTTAACTTGCCATAGTAGGACAAGTATGTCATTAAACTTACTAATGGATAAATTACCTCTGCCATTAAGTGATTCTGCTATTCACATATCTATACTTATAAAAGGGTAATATGCTAATTAGACCAGACATCTTCCAGACGACCTTCTGAATGTCCTTCTGGACAAAGCCATGATGGAGGGGCCAAGGCAGAGGTGGTTAGGGGCAATCAGGCTGGCAGGGGGGAGCAAGTTCAATTTTGTTAAATTGCCTATTTCACAAAAATGCTTTGATGGCTTTCTTTGCATTTTAGTGACAGGATAGATATAGTAATTTAATTGTGGTATAGACTGCTGGATGACAAACATAAGATCATTCTGACTTCTCATCAAAGAACTTAATGTTAAATTGTATCGTTGTATTATCACAAATTCTTTTTTCTTCCCTGCAGTTTGAATCTTTTCCTGAGACCAATTTTGTTTTTGGCAGTTAGGGGGATCAGGCCAGCAGGGGAAAGCAGTTAGGGCAATCAGGCTGGCAGGGGAGAGTAGTTATGAGGATCAGGCGAGCAGGGGAGAGCAGTTAGGAGTATCAGCTGGCAGGGGACAGCAGTTATGGGGATCAGGCTAGCAGGGGAGATCAGGCTGGCAGGCAGGTGAACGATTAGGAGCCAGCGGTCCCGTATTGTGAGAGGGATGTCTGACTGCTGCAAGGGGTCCTGGATTGGAGAGGGTGCAGGCCAGGATGAGGGAGCCCCTCTCCCCCGATGCATGAATTTTATGCATCAGGCCTCTAGTTTATAATATAATATTAGAATTACCAAGCATGCAAAGAAGAAAATGGACCCGTATGATGGTCAATCAATTGAAACTAACCCAAAACTAGCACAGATATAAGAATCAACAGGCAAAGACATTAAAAGAATTATTATAACTGTATTCCATGCATTCAAATAGTTAAGTAGAGACATAAAAGATTAAAAATCAACCCAAATCCAACTTCTAGAGGTGAAACTATAATGTCTGATATGAAAAGTACCCTGGATGATATTCATGTCTGATTAGACATTCTAGAAGAAAAGAATAGTGGTCTTGAAGACATAGCAACAAAATATATTCAAAAGGAAGTAAAAGAGGAATCAAATTTAAAAATTAACAGACCATAAGTGAGCTGTGTGATAATTTCAAGCAGCCTAATAAACTAGAAATAGTCACCAAAGGGAGAGGAGAAAAAAAGGGCACAGAAAAATATATTTCAAAAAATAGTTACAAATTTTAATAAAACTTGATGAAATCTATAAGATCATAGACCCAAGAAGGTCAAAAACTCACAACACAAGAGGCATGAATAAAATTACATGTCACATAATCAAACTCTTCCATATCAGTGATGAGAAAAATCTTAAAACTAGCCGGGGGGAGGGGGAGAGTATTTTCTTTATAGGAACAAAGGAAGGATAGTAACAAATTTCTCAATTGGATAAATCCATGGTAGAAGACAGCACACCAACATCTTTAAAGTCAAAGTAAAAAAAATCTGTCAAACTAGAATTCTATTACTAGGTAAATTATCTTTTAAAAGAAGGCATCGAAAAAAAAAAATAATAACAACCAGCAGACCCATACTACAAAAAATCTTAAAGGAACTCCTTTAGTCAAAATATAAATTGTACCACATAAAAGTATACATCCACATAAGGTTTAGAAGTACACCAGAAATGATAACAAAGTAAATAAATATATGAGTTTTCCTAATTATTTATAATATTTTAATAGTCTTACCCTTTAAAAATATGATACATTGCATTTTGAAATTTTTTAGCATATGTACAAGAAAAATGTATGGCAACAACAAAACAAAATCTAGAATGAAAAAAGCGGAATTATATTATATACAGTTTTTATGTTATATGGTAAGTGGTAACATTCACTTAAAGGTAGACTGCAATAAACTAAAGATTATAATAGAGATCTACCCCAAAAATCCTCTAAAATAAATTTTAAAGAGTCATAGATAATAAACCCACAAAAGAGAAAATGAAAGTATAAGACTACTCAATGTACACAAAAGAAGGCAGACAATGAGAAAAATGGAAACAAAGAACAGATAGGAAAAATCTGAAGCAAAATAGCAAGATGATAAATTGAAATCCAACCACATTAACCATCATATTACGTTAAGAGATGTAAATACCCTTAATAAAATGGCAGAGGTCATAACATAATTTGTCATTAGAGAAATGCAAATTAAAAACACAAAGAGATATCTTAATAGCTATTAGAATAGTGAAAACAGAAACAAAACAAACAATAAATCTGGCAAAAGTATAGTATTTGGTGCAGGAGAACAGTGGAATTCTGACAAATGTCAGTGGGAATGCAAAATGTACAATACTTAAAAAACAGCCTGGCAATTTCTTATAAAGTTAAACATATACTTACAATATGACCCAGCAATCTCACTGATATATATTTATTCAGCAGAAGTAAAAACTTATATTAACATAAAAATCTGCATGCAAATATTTATGTTGGATTTATTCAGAGACAAATATCAAAAACTGTGAACAAATTATATGCCCTCCAACTGGTGAATGGATAAATGAACTCTGGCATATCCTATCTAATAATAGACAAATATGGTAATTAACCATACCTCCACTATGCTTCCCATTGGCTAATCAGGGTGATATGCAAATTAACTGCCAACAAAGATGGCGGCCGGCAGCCAGGCAGCTGAAGCGAACATGAGGCTTGCTTGCTCAAGTGATAGAGGAAGCCAAGGTTCCCCGCCTGCCACAGCCAGGCTCTGAACTCCAGTCTAAGCAACTACGTTATAATTATAGAAGCTAAACAAACCCCAGATACCTGCTTT